AGGAATGCAATTTTACCTCGCATTTCTGGAGGGCAGTACAACGTGAGTTGGGTACGCGGGTCGAGTTGAGCACAGCAGACGGACGGACAGTCCAAGCGTACTATTCAGATCTTGGAGGATATGCTCCGCGCCTGTGTTATTGACTTTGGAGGTTCTTGGGATCAGTTGTTACCGTTAGCGGAGTTTGCCTACAACAACAGTTATCAGTCGAGCATCCGGATGGCTCCCTATGAGTCATTATATGGTAGACGGTGTCGATCGCCGGTTGGGTGGTTTGAGTCGGGGAGGCTCGGTTGTTGGGTACAGACTTAGTGCAGGATGCCTTGGATAAGGTTAAGATCATTTAGGATAGACTTCGTACAGCTCAGTCCAAGCAAAAGAGTTATGCCGATCGTAAGGTTCGTGATGTGGCATTCATGGTAGGAGAGAGAGTGTTGCTTCGAGTGTCACCCATGGAGGGTGTGATGCAGTTTGGGAAGAAGGGAAAGTGCCCTAGGTTCATCGGGCCTTTTGAGATTCTTGATCGAGTGGGAGAGGTGGCCTACAGACTTGCGTTGCCCCCAGGCTTATCAGCGTTACATCCAATGTTTCATGTGTCCATGTTTCGGAAGTACCACGGCGATCCATCCCACGTGTTAGATTTCAGCACTGTCTAGTTGGACAATGATTTGACTTACGAGGAGGAGCCGGTAGCTATTCTAGATCGGCAAGTTCGTCAGTTGAGATCGAAGAGTTATCATTTGGTTCGTGTGCAGTGGAGAGGTCAGCCTGTTGAGGCAGCTACCTGGGAGTCCGAGTCTGATATGCGGAGCAGATATCCCCATTTTTTCACCAACTCAGGTACTTTTATGTGTATGTTCGAGGACGAACAGTTGTTTTAGAGGTGGAGAATGTGATGATCCAAAGGGTCATCTTATATTTTAGAACTCGATTCCGTATTTTGAGGTCTTTAAAACCTTATTTTATTTCTCCTCGATTTGCGTGCACAGTTCGGACTTGTATCCGGAAAGCTTTTATGAGAAAAATTGATGAAATAATAATTTTTGGCCTAAAAAGTTGATTTTTGTTGACTTCGTTCAACGTTTTGGGTAAACGGACCCGGACCCGTATTCTGACGGTCCTGGTGGGTCCGTAATAAAATATGGGACCTAGGCGTATGCCCAGAATCGAATTCCAAGGTCCCTAACCCGAGAAATAAATTTTTGATGAAAATTATAAGACTGAAATTATAATGGTTTTAAGAATTTGGTTAATATGTGATCTCGTTGGTATCGGGCCCGTATTTTGGTTCCGGCACCCGGTACAGGTCCGTTATGATATTTATACCTTATCTGTGATGTTTGGTGAGAAACGAGACTGATTTGACGTGATTCGGACCTTTGGTTGAGAAAATAGAAGTTTTGAAACTTTCTTGAAAATTTCATGCAATTTGGTGCTAAATTCGTAGTTCTAGGTGTTATTTTGGCGATTTGATCGCGCGAGCAAGTTTGTATGATATTTTAATACTTGTGTGCATGTTTGGTTTGGAGTCCCGAGAGCTCGAGTGAGTTCCAGATAGGCTAAAGAGTGATTTGGAACTTAGAAAATATTGCTGGTATAACTGATTTGGTTGCAGGTCTCTGATCTCGCATTTGCGAGATCAGGCATCGCAATTGCGGACCCTGCAAGTTTTGCATTTGCGAGGAAGGCTGGGCCAGCAGTTCTCGCATTTGCGAGGTTACCTTCGCAATTGCGAAGGGCGTCTGGGAAGGGTCAGGATCGCAAATGCGATCTTTTACTCGCATTTGCGAGGTTCAGTGATCGCAATTGTGGCACTTTCCTCGCATTTGCGAAGGCAGCAGGACTGTAAAGGGCTTCACAATTGCAATAGCACCTTCGCTTTTGCGAGCTTCGCGATAGCGAAGCTTAGGTCGCAAATGCGACATCTGCAGCTGATAAGTATAGACTTAGACGAGATTTTTCATTCATTCTCCCACTTATTAAAACCTAGAACACAAGAGGCAATTTTCCAAAGGTTTTTTCTTCCCCAAATCATAGGTAAATGATTCTTAACTCATTTCTTTCAATCTTTAACTTCTTTTTACAAGATTTCATCCTAGAATCTAGGGTTTTTCATGGTGGAATTGGGGATTTTTGGGTAGAACTTAGGAATTTCGAAATTTGGGGATTTAGACCGCAAATTGAGGTTGTATTCCAAAACTAATTGTGTATCCGGGCTCGGGGGTGAATTGGTAATCGAGTTTTGGTCCGAATTTCGAATTTTGGCCAAGCGAGCTCGGGGTTGGTTTTTGACTTTTTGGGGGAAATGCTGGCAAACTTATAATTATGCATTGGAATTGATTTCTTTAGCTACAATTGATGTTATTAAGTTAATTATGACTAGATACGAGTGGATTGGAGGTGGAATCTAGAGGAAAAGCGGTAATTGAGCGTTGAGTTGGCCGTTGGATTGAGGTAAGCATTGTGTCTAATTTTGACTTGAGGGATTAGGAATCCCCGACTTAATTGCTATGTGCAAATCCATGTGTGTGGCGTATAGGTGAAATGACGAGTACCTATGCGCCGCCAAATTATCTGTTTAGTCTGCCCCTTTCCCCGTTCCTAATATATTGTCTTCCTGTCTTAACTGCTACATGCTTATTGGTGCTTCCATGTTTAATTGCTTCTTGTTAGATGTTGTTTTCTTTATTAAAAGTAGTAATTGTTCCGTAGTCCCATTGTGTTACATTATCGGTTTAAGTTGGTTTGTCGGTATTTCATGGTATATTTTGGTTGGTCTCGCTGTGTAGTAGTAATTGAGTGAAGTTTCATAAGTGTATAGCCTTCTATTTGCTTTGGTTTGAGGCATAAATATTGTGGAGGCCTTTGAGATAAATTGTGAAATACTTGTTCTTATTGTGTGATTGGTACTGATATGGTGGGGTCGGGTTGTACACCGCAAAAGGAGGAATAAGGGTGATATATTGATGATGAATAAGGGTGAAATGTGTTTGTCTAGTGGGATCGGGTTGCGCGCCGTAACAGGAGTAATAAGGATGGATTGGTGGGATCGGGTTGCACGCCGCAACAGGAGGAATAAGGGTGATGTATTGAGGAGTAATAAGGGTGGATTGGTGGGATCGAGTTGCACGCCGCAACAGGAGTAATAAGGGTGAATGTTCATATTGTTACTGATTATATGGTGGGATCGGGATGCGTGCTGCATCATCTTGTTGTTTATGTATCCTTCTTCTGCTGTGATTCTATTCCATAGCATTGTAACTCTCTAAAAGATTGGTTATAGCTGAGTACTGGCAAGATAATTGAGTTCCGTATTTATTTTTGCCGCAAATTACTATTTCATTACGTTCCGTATTTCATTTTTGCTTTATTATATACTGTATGCAGGTTATATTGTAAATGCCCCGCCGTAGCCTCGTCACTAGCTCGTCGAGGTTAGGCTCGGCACTTACCAGTACATGGGTTCGGTTGTACTGATACTGCACTCTGCACTTTTTGTACGGATTTTGGAGCTGGTTGCGGCTGATCGAGAGGCCGATTGCAGGCAAATCATCTAGGAGACCCAAGGTAGTCCTGCTGGCGTCCGCAGGCCCTGGCGTCCCCTCCTATGCTTATACATTCATGTTTTCTTTTCTTTCGAGACATGTGTAATTTCTTTCAGACCAGTATTTGTAGTAATTCGTAGTATCTTCATGGATTGTGACACTAGTTTCTGGGTGGTAATAGTTTTCGGGATTGTTAATAATATATAGATAATCGGTTAATTATTCTTGCGCATTTATTTCTGTTCGATTTAGCTTTGTTAATTTTAACCTATATAATGTAAAGAAAAAAAGTGAATAGAACTCTAACATTTGCTTGCCTAGCGTGATGTTAGGCGCCATCACGGTCCTGACAGTGAAAAATTCGGATCGTGACATTACAACTGGGGTCTGGGAAGGATAGGGTATACGCAGCCTTACCCCTACCCTGGACAAGCAGACAGGCTGTTTTCGATAGACCCTCATGTTATACCCCATTTAAACCGGGTCAAATTAGAGTATAACATATTAGCGATTCTGAGGTTTAGTTAATTTTAAGAGAGTCGCCACCTAATTAATTCTAAGGTGAATTAGGACACCTATTTTTAAAGCTTAAGTCAAACTCTGTCTTATGGTCTTAACCTAAAGATTCTAAGTAAGGGTTTTAAATATTTTAAAAAGGAAGGTTTTTAAAGCACCTTTTAAAAATCCCTTAATAACGGTTAATCGACCAAGCTTTGGTTAATAAGAATTGTATAAAAATATCAAGAAATATTATTTGAGGTATTTTAACAAAATATAACTTAGAATAGAGTAGTTTAACTTCGAAAGACTTTAATAAACTTTTGAAGAACATTATTACATAAATAAAGCTTATTTATATATATATATATATATATATATATATATATATATATATATTTAATAAAGCTTATTAAAAAATACTTTTTCTCTTACTTGTCATTAAAAGTAGTCAAGGTAAAGGATTTTTTTTTTGAACTTTTTAATTAGAAAACGTCAGCCAACTNGATTTGGGTTAGTTGGCTAGCCTTGTCTTCACAAGAGGCGCCATCACGACCGGGTATGGGAATTGGGTCGTGACAGATACAATCCTTCTAAGGAAGATGTTTTGGTACTGATTAAAATATTTATATTATAATAAATACCTTTTCTCTTACTTGTCTTTTTTAAAAAACGTAGTCAAGGTAAAAGATTTTTTTTAGAACTTTTTAATTAGAAAACGTCAGCCAACTTCAAAGTCAAGAAGCGTTTTGCATATTTCTTTTTTTTTTAGAAGACAAATTCACGTTTTCCATGATGTTATAAGAAACAATTTTTCAATTTCAGCTGAAGCACACCCCCACCTTTTTTCTCTTTTTTTTTTTCAAGAAGATTTGATTCAAATCCAAACTTATATAATAGAAATATGAAATCTAAATGGTTCTTCAAAAAAAAAAAAAAATCTTGAAAGCACTACTATATAAAATAGTTAATATCTGCTAATAACTAAGTGAGAATAGTAAGTGAAGAAATCAAAATTAAATTAACAAACCCAGGTTAAGTGTAGAACTAAACTAATCAAAAGAATATAATCAAATTGATTAAAAATTCGAAACAGAGTAAATGTAAATAACGAAGGCTGCCGTAAGCGACCCCAAGCTTTTCGCTTGTTCTTCTTCTAGATGTCCATCATAGTCCAAGGCTCAATAGTAACGATTCCATGCTGGGGCGGGGCCAGTCTTGCATTAAAACTCATATTGCTCCAAGTGCATATACCAAACAAAGAAAGAGAAAAGCAATAAATTAGAAAGAGGGAAGTTAGAAATAGACTTGGACAAAATTTACAGCAAGATTATGAACTAAATTAACAAGCTTATGCTAATAGATTTATTGTCTTTATCCAAGCTTGAATACTAACTTTTCATATTCATATGAAATCTAAAAGGTCGAAAAGATAAATATGGTCAACATAATCCTTCACACTCAAAAAACATAATTTTCAACTTCCATATTAAGTCATAAAAAAGGTCCTTGCAGCATGCCCTTCTAAAAAAGAATAACGAAGTAGTAGCAGACTTTTTTTAAGACAAATAATATGCATGGCATCATTTAACGCAAAAAAGCACATGATTTCTTACTTTATTTCAAGTATTAGGACCAAATACTAAAGTATTCTAATGGCGTACTCGATAGTAACAGTGAGAAAGGGAAAATCATTTGAAAGGTTCATAAATGTCAAATTTCTGCACTTAGTTAAGAACAGACTTCTCTTAAGCGCACATACAAGAACTTTTAATAATGGCAGGTGGTTTAAGCAAACTTCTAGTCCTTTGCACATGATATTTTAGTCTTCCTGAATATTATCTTTTCTACCATCTGAGAGTACAATTTCAGTCTACAATACACTGTTTAAGCATTAACTAGTCCTAACTTCATAATAAATCTATGTTATTTTCAGCTAGAAAAACTTAACTACTTAAGCAAACATAAGTATAGAGCTATCTAGCAAAATTACTTTAGATATTCACTGGTTTAAAATGGTCAAGATAGTTTATTAAGTTCTTTTCATAAACATAGTGTAAATCTATAACTATAAATATAGTTCTTAATTCACAAAAGAAGAAATATTTCAAACTTGGAGTATTCTTCAAAAGTTCATCTTAAAGCAGTGGCTTCTATACATGTAGTATCTATATAAAAGGTCTTTAAATTTTATCATTTTTAGACACGAGCTCTGTGAAGCAAATCACTTTTAAAACTTATTACTAAACATAAAAACATTCAATCTAAGCACCCAAATAGTTAATTTCTAACAAATATTTTCTATGGCATTTACACTAAAACATAAAACTTGGGATATATTTTTGAGGCATGAAAAATGAGAATGCAGACACCGTAACTTTCAATATATGGAGTGAAGAGCAACATTTGGTACATGCTAGACAAATGCAACACCATAACTTTGACAAAAGAATAGAGGGAATTATAATGTATTTAAAAATAAAAAGCCATTTCATCAATTACTAATAAGATAATTGCCAGAAGCCTATTCATGCTTTATTGAACTTTTATTTTGATTTAACCAAATACCTGTAACTTCATAGCTTCTACAGAAGTTGGCTTTTGCGATGCAGCGAACTTGGGCGCGTCGAATAGATCTATACATTCTGGCTTCGGACTGGAACTCGATCTTACAACCGCGAACTTTATAATTTTCGAAAAAAGTGCAAACAAAAATTCCTCTGTTATAGCAAGGAGTAACAGAGGCCACACAACTAAGAATTTTAGAGTGTTTTGAAGAATAAAATTGTTTGAAGATGACTCCAATAGTTGTCCTAAATTATTACCAAACCTATGTATTTATAGAAGAATTACTAGGGCTTTTCTAGGGTTAATTTGAGCGGGATTCTTGAAGGGCTAGGGTTTCAAATGGTTAAAGAACTGTTTGAAATGACGTGTAGAAGAAAGAAAAAGGACGGTATGGACAGGAGAAGCAGGGATTTGGTTGCCGAAATGGTGAAAACTTGGAGGAAACAAAAAAGAGAACCTTTTTACCTCTGTCATCTTTATTGTAAATAGCAAACGAATTTGAATTTTTGAGTCAAAGTGCTTGAGTTTGCAGATGATTCCTTAGAATAGCTATACATATTTCTGATTATAAGATTTGAGAGTCAAATTTTGCTAAGAAAATAGAATGAGCCAAAACTTTTCTGCCATGGCAGACAAAAGAAAGCTGGTTTTAAAGAGATGAACCCTAGTCAAAATTAATTTTAATTCTAGAAATAAATTCAATTGTTGGATTAGATGCATCTAATGGCGGAGATTAATTTTGATATAAGTAAATAAGGTATAATAAAATAAATAAAACAAGTATTTATTTGGAATTTCTAGAAGATAGAAGAAATGATCTTGACCATTAATTTAAAATGGACTAGATCTGATGAATCCATGTGGAAAGGTGTGGGGTCAAAGTGTGAAGGGATGAGGAGAGCATGTGCTAGGCGTGTGTTGGTCATGGGATTTGGACCGTTGGTGCCTATGTGGCGCTGATGTGGAGGCTTATGTGGCGCTTATGTGGAGTCCATGTAGATGAAAGAGTTAGGTAGATGGGCTGGCGGGTATGGGCTATTTTATGGACTATTTTGGTTGATTTATGGGGTCTAAAAATCTGAAAATGTGTTATAAAATTGGCACCATTTTAAATAACATTAAGCTTTACCAAGATGATCTAATTTACATTTAAAAGTCCTTTTTCACTTTAAATTTTACTATGCTTCCATAATTCTAATAATTTATAATAAAATATATTATATTATATTATTGTAAAAACTAATATCTAGTGTGTATGCATTTATATATAGAATAAGAAGTAGAAAAATAAAATATAGTTGGGCAAATAATATTTGTATTAATTAGCATTAAATAATAATATGATAGTGACTAAGTAACTAAAATAATAATAACGATATAATTACAATAAATAAATATACTAAATTATATTAAGGCTAATAATTTTATTTTATTTTAAAAATCTTGAGGCTGGAAAGAATATAACAAATGTTTTGGATAAAAATATGTAAAATATATTTAGTAAATTATTAAAAATTAGGAAGTATAGAGAAATTGCTTATGAAAAAGGGGGCCAAAATTGGTTGTCAACACCTCAGCTAAAGAAAAAATAAATGAAATACTGATAGCAAGTAATAACTGTACATGATACTTATCTAGCGTTTGGCCATAGACTCCCTAATTTGTTTTGAAAAATTTGATTTGGATGAAGTTTGGTTTGAAGATGAAAATGTGTTTGGACATCAGTTTTCAAAATATATTTCACTTTTTTTTTGAAAAAACATGAAACATGACTTATACCACAAGTTCTAAAAATTATCATAAATGCCCAACAGTACCTTCATCAATAACATTCATTATATTATCGCAACCATAGTCCTGAACATAAAAAAATTTGGTATAAAATTATCATTTTATAATAAACTACATAATACACCATCGGATGACCGAGAGATGAAGCAACATTGTTACAAAATAATAAATGGTGGGTTCTTTTATAAAATACAAAAGTTTGGGAAATTTTTTATTTTGGGCCAAAACCTGCTCTTGGCTGGTTTTGGAATTTGGGTTTTGAGAATTTGCCAAAATATTTGATAAAATTTATGTACAAATATGTATTTGCCAAAAAAAATCCAAATATAATTTAACAAATTTATGGTCAAACGGGTCTTTAGAAAACTGAGACTAAGATACCAAGACAGCAAGACGGGTCCATTGATATTATTGAACATAAAATATCCAACTGAATTCTCATATCAAAGTTGTCATTCGCTTACATAGGAAAAAGTATTTTTTCAATATTGAAAAAAGCTATTAGAGACGTTACATAAATGTGGCATCGTTATCAGGTGAAAATTAAAATATCCAATTCAAGATTCTTGACTGAAGAAACTAGGTTTTCAACATAATGTTTAGCCCCCAGTAATTTGTTAGATCATACCAGCTACTTCATTTGATTAATTGGACGTCTATAAATATTTAAATAGAAAGTTAAAGGTATTTGACCAAAACTTTTAAAAGAATTAAGTAATTCGTAGTGACAATAATAGCAAACTCAGTAGTTTTTTACAAGTGGGGTCTGGGGAGGGTAAGACGTACGCAACATTATCCCTACCCTTGGAAGGGCAGAGAGGCTGTTTCTGATAGACCCTCGGCTAGAGAACGGCTGAAAAAGAAAAGGTAATTACAACAAGTAGTAATAACAGCAACATGAAAGAAGATTGGATCCAAGAATGCAGTTAAACTCTAGATAGTAATAGTAATCTATGAATGAAAAGATATCATACTAACACTAATGCTAGCGAACTGAGTAAGACAAAGAGAAACGTTCAACTACCTACGAACCTTCTTTCCTAATCTTTGACCTCCACGCCCTAATCCGTAGAAATAGCATAAGCTATTTTTTGGTGTAGAGAGAAAGATAAAATTTGGTGTAATAGTAATTATCAAATGAATCTTTATACGTCTTCTTGTATTTGAAATTTATATAATTACTTTTTAGAAAGATTCGCTATTTTGCTGTCTTAAATGTACTAGAAAAATTTATTTTGATACCAAAATTTCACAAAATAAGCAAATTTTATTATTTTTCCTCCAAACTTATCTGGTAATCTCCTCTTAAGAAAAGAATAACTTTTTTGAAATTTGTAATTTTAAATCTGCTATTTTTATTGCTATAAAAAGATTTTTTTTATTTTGTGTCTCACACAACTCACACTAGTTGTGTGAGGCTTTTTTTTTGTCTCACAGCCGTGTGATTCCAGAATTTTGTTCCAGATGTAGGGCTGTGCATAATTTGGTAAATACCGAATTACCATACCGAAACCGATAATTTTGGTATTTGGTATACGGTATATTTGGTTTAAGTTTTTTAAAATATTGGTATTAGGTATGGTATTTGGTATTTTAAAATAAAATACCGAAAAACCGATACCGTACCAAAATATATATTACATTACACAAAACACGTATTATCAATTATATCATAAATATAAAAAATCTAAAATTTTACTTTTCTTTGTTCTCTAAGTTCATCAATTAACACTAAACAAGTAACAAGACATTTCTAATGATCAAATAGTCTTTTATATATAATTTTCTCTATTTTGGTCGATATTTTCTAGTTTTGGACAAAATTTTTATCAACAAACATTTTTAGTTTTGTATTTTTGAGTACTTTAATTAAGAATATTAGAGTCTATGGCTCTATGCACTAGTTAGTATTCAAACCGAATAAACCGAAACCAAAAGGAGAAAAACCGAACCATACCGAATTTAATTAGGTACGGTATTGGTATAAGATTTTAAGAAACCGTATACCGAAAATATCGAACCGAAATGTCTAAATACCGTACCGACCGACGAACACCCCTACCCAGATGTGTAAGATATGGGTCCATAAATAGGCGAGATAAAAAGAGGCCTCACACAACTAGTGTAAGTTGTGTGAGGTACAAAATAAAATCACTCCTATAAAAATATGTCATTAAAGATGAAAAGTAAAATTTATTTTCTATAAAACACACTCATTTTTTCCGAGTAATTAATAAAGTGAATCCTTAAACCTTTGACGCTCAGTAAAAATGCAGTCCTCGCCACGTCATGAACTTCCTTAAATCTCTCAGTCTCTTTCGTTACAAGTCATAACTACCTCACTGCAATATCTCTCCCCTGCTATCTAAATATCTATCTTTATTAATTAAAGCGTTAACCTAACTCTTACTATTTCTCATTTTTCTTCTCTTCAAATTCAAATTCTGATCATTTTACTACTATTACTATATGCGATTATCAATTCGCCGAATTATAGAATTATAGAGTAGAGAAACAAACAAAATGGAAAAAGGAAAAGTAGAGAGCGGAGGAGTTTGCTCATCGGAAACCGTTAACGGCGGCAAAGATATCTTCAGTTGCCAAAATTCCGGTGCTGATCATCTTGTTATAATGGTCCACGGTATTCTCGGAAGGTGTGTGTGTGTGTGTTGTGTTGTGTGTGAGTGTGTGGTGTGTGTGTGTACTACAGTTACAGTATATTATGTTATCATTTTCCATTCATTCTGCGGAGTACTAAAGTTGAAGTAATTATCTGTCTATGAAATTGAAGTGTTACAATTTAATTAGAAGGGAAAAAATTGAAGAATTTTATCTTACTTCCTAGTTGTTAGTGATTTTGAGATTTTTATAATTAGTCCCCTGATATTTTAGGTTCTCTAGTCTTGCGAATATTATAAGTAGTTCGTATGGAAATGGAGGATATTTGTTTAGATTTTGCTTATATTTGTTATTTTACATGTTCCTTTGTTTACTTGGAGTATCTATGCTTCGAGTGGCTTTTAATAGAGGCGGATACAGGATAGGGAACTTTTTGGGTTTTGGATTCTAGGACAACGACCTCAAGAGCTAGTAACGAGGTTCTGAGTTTAATTCTTTGTACATTTTTAGTAGATTTATTAACTAGTATAATACAAGGTTTGAGCTAAAGTTACGGTGCTACATCCGCCCTGGCTTTCATTGCTTCATTATCTGGGACGTATTCAAAACCTATTTAGCATAACTGAATGACTAGTTCATATTCATCTATTCTACTTTTCGCCACCATACTGAATGTTTCTTGAGTAGGTAGATCACGAAAATTTCCACTTCTCCATCCCAATAAACAAGTTGCTCAGACTGCATTCTGTATTGAATAGTTTCTTTGCTTTGGGTACCTGCACTTGAAATGCGTAGTTGTGCCACCATGGAACGATTTTCTATTGGAGTAATGATAAAAAGAAATTATGAAAAGGAACTAATTCCTTCTCTAGTTTTTACTTTAGCTGAAAGCAAAGGTACTTATAGTTTGGTATTGTAATGGATGTATTTCAACAGCGCCACAGACTGGAAGTTTGGTGCTGAGCAGTTTGTTCGGATGCTTCCTGACAAAGTTTTTGTTCATTGTAAGCTCATCTATTCCGAGTGGTATTTCTAATTTCATATGCTTGTGTTTCTGTACATTGCTCTTCCTCCACCCTTCATCCCTTTGCACTTACCATTTTGTTGCTTTGGCAATAAATCTCATGTATCCTTTTTGTTATTCTCTGCCTGTTACTTTGATAGTTCTGATATTTGGTCGCACTCTTTGTCCTTAATGTGATCTGTTCCGGGTGCAAGTAAACCACATACAAATTGAGAACAAAGTATAAGGGTTAAGTGATCATCCTGGCAGGAACTGCATTTTCTAATATATTCCCGTTGATTCTACTTCAGCAAATTTTCATTGCACATTAGATTGTAGACTGAGGTTATTTTGTTCTTAGTGATAAGCCAAAGTTATCCATCTGAAATCTTGCTCTTTGTACAAAAATTGAAATATCATATATGTTGCTCAATATAACCGTTTAGTAATCATTTACTTGCCTAGTTGGAACTTATTTCTTGAACTTAGTTGTGGTTCATTAGCTTAAGTTGTTATCAGTTAGACATTGTTGTCGTGCACCTCTAATTTTGGCTTCTAATTCTTGAAAGTATTTTTATTTTTCCTAAGCCGAGGGCCTTCTGGAAACAATCTCTCTGCCTTCTTGAAGGTACGGGTAAGGTCTGCGTACATCCTACCCTCCCCAGACCCCACTTGTGGGATTACACTGGGTTTGTTGTTGTTGTAATTCTTGAAAGTATTGTTCATGTTGAATTCATGCAGTTTTCTGGATCATATCATCTAAAAGTATAAGTTACTAGAGAGGAAACACTTCTATTGATTTAGTTTAGGTTGTACAACATGTTGCCTCACTTGGCCAAGTACATGAAAATATTTTGCTGGTGAGAGGAGCTGAGGCTCGAATTCAAAACCTTTGCTTTCTTTATTATCTTTATCGGAGTGTATGAACTGGCCCATCTAGAAGTATAAATTTTTAGAGAAGGGGATACTTTATTTTAGTTCTGCATGGGTCTCTTATGTAGAAACTTTCATTTGAGTAAAGCAAATATGATACCACAAATGAGTCATGGTTGTTAAAATTTACCAAGGGCACATGTATATAATAGCAGGTAAACACTTCTGCTCATTTCTTGTGCTCGTCCACAGGGTATTGGATTCAAAATCCTTTTTAGTTCTTACTTACAAGTATTCTATATTCATTAATAAGATGGTAAAAATCATTGTGCAATCAAGGGTGTGGCCTAGTGGTCAACAAAGTGGGTTTGAGATGAGGTCTCAGTTCAAATCCCAATGGAGGCAAAAACATTTGGTGGTTTTTTTCTCATCCGTCTAGGTGTTGGTGGACAAAGTTATTCGGTACCTGTGTTGGCGGGAGGTAGCAGGTACCTCGTGGAATCAATCGAGGTGCGCACAAGCTGGCTCGGACACCATGGTTATCCCAAAAAAAGAAGAAGAGAAAACAGAAAAAGATGGTGTTAGTCATTGTTTATGGGGATGGACGCTGCTAAGTTTTCATTATTTACTTCCCCCTCCCTTTTCTTATTAAGGGTGGGCAACTGTGTTCACTGAATTCTTCTAGTGAAATTGCCAACTCTTTCTCATTTTTGTAGTTTCATGGATAAGTAATGACAGTCAACTTAAGGTAATAGTCAGCTCTGAATGGAGTTCCCAGCTTCTTTGTCCCAATTTCTTAGTTGAGCTTTCCTATGTTAATAGATAGCTATAATGATTCAAAGCAGATTTCATTATGGAATGTACTCTGTAATTCTACGCTGTCTTGTATCTTCTTCATTTTAGCTGAGAGTGAGCTACTTGCAAGATTGTATGGACATTTGTAGCATATCTTGCTTCAGTTGATACTTGCATGTTGCATCCAATCTAGGATGACTACTGGATATAAGTGCACAAAATGGAATACCAAAAGGAGGACTACTGAAAATGATTTGCTCTGCAGGTAGTGAACGCAATATGGCAAAATTAACATTGGATGGTGTGGATGTAATGGGTGAGAGATTGGCTGAGGAGGTTGATTTCTTCTGATACTATTCATTCTTCTTTTTGATTCCTTTCGATTCAGCACAATCGTTTTTCTAATATGTGTTCTAGAGCTTGGTATGCTTACCAAATCTACTAACGATGTGGAAATGAATTTAGGTTCTTGAAGTGATCAAGAGAAATCCAGGTCTAAAGAAAATTTCTTTTGTTTCCCATTCGGTTGGAGGGTTGGTGGCAAGATATGCCATTGGGAGATTGTATAGACCTCCTAGAATGGAGAATGTGGCGGATTTATTGGCCAATGCATGTGTAGAAGGGTCAAAGGGCACGATAGCTGGTTTGCAACCAATAAATTTTGTCACTGTTGCCACACCTCATCTTGGATCTAGGGGTAACAAGCAGGTACAACTGTAATTATTGAAATCTTACAAAATACTTAAAAGTAATATTCTTGTCATTGAGGAAAATGAATTATTATCTTCATTCGATATGCCTTTTGTCTCCTTGTTTGATAAATGACGCTTAGGAGCAGATAGAGATGGACTCCCTCTCCCATATTTAGATGCTGTCAGAGACCAGGTAGTTTTAAGGGTCATTTGGCATGCCGATATAACTTTTCCTTCAGTCGGATTGTAATGGGGTCGTATTGCTATCCACCATTATCCCATGATTGGTGTCTTGGATATGTGATGGGATATCCTGTTGTTTATCAGGTCTAGTTAGGAATAGTATTCATCACCAAATACCCTTATACAAGATTAAAATTATAGTTTTCTTTTGTGGTTTTGCCTGTACTGGTTTCTGAAAAAAAAAAGAAGGAATGGTCAATGGTGGTTTTAATTTCAAAATTATGTCAAGCTTTTCTGACCATTTATTTTCATCTCTGAGTGCGATCTTCATGCAAAAAGCATTGAGATCTGGAGAAGTTACTGCACAATAGGATATTTTTGTGTTATAGCAACAAAGACCAGATAAAATGCACCAAAATAAAAAATGGCCAGGGGGAAGAAGAGCGTATGAAGTGTGGGGAATCCTTTTGAAGGAGATCAAAGTGGGGTGAGGTGGGTTGAGGGAGATGATGCAGGTGACGTAGTTGCCAAAGCCAGGGGGAGTGCCATTAGAGGGGCTTGAAGAGCATATGGACATGAGTGAACAGAAGCAGAAGAAGAGCCATTGAATTAGGAGTTCAGTTTTCCAATTTATATTTGAGGGGGCCAAAAGTCTTTTTACCATGCTTAAATAGTGGGAGTGTAGACCTTTATTAGAACTCCATCACTGGAAAATTTTATCTCCCTTCAAGTTGATAACTTGCGTGACACATGATCTATTCCAAGGGTGGTAAATGGTATACAGTATGAAAATGTTTTTTTATCCAGCCACATCTTATCATATCATATATCTGCATACTGAAGAACCTCTCAGATCTTGTCGTAATGGTCGCTCTTTAGTAACCTTGAAAGTTTCTCATGTATGTCTGCGTACATTGTGATTTAGGTTTCTTTAGGAGGTTTCCGAGCTTTTAAAAGTATCAAAGATTCCAGATTAACCCTTTAATCTTGGCACTTTCTGGTAAAAATCAATGTTCTGCCACAGTGAAGCTTCTTCGAGAAGCGTCAATTCAGTGACGGCTCTGAATCGTACGTATTCGGTTTGTCTACTTGCCTATAGCTTCGAATCAGTTGTTTGGACGTGTTAGTGTTTAGTCGTACATATATTTTGATCCCAGATTAATGCTGCATTACCGTGGAAATGGAAATGCTCCTTTATCTGACTATCCGGAAGGATCAAGGCGATTGCTAATCTTCGGCATATTCCTTTTGTTGCCTAGATCTTGATGAATGTCAAATTGTAGTTCCTGTTTTATCAAGTGTGTGCATTCATGATTCATGTTTGTAAGATTTTGAGCTTTCTTCCTTGTCTATCTTATAAGATATGCTATGTCAGCTGTTGAACCTTTTGGTAATGATAATTCTTTAAGGTATTGTCAGGTACCATTTCTTTTTGGTGTAACTGCCCTAGAGAAAGTTGCTTTTCATGTAATTCATTTGATATTCAGAAGAACAGGGCAGCACCTTTTTCTTTGTGATAATGATGAAGGGAGGCCTCCATTACTTAAACGCATGGTGGAAGATGACGGTGAACTACGCTTCATGTACGTTACAGAGATTAATATAGTACAAATAGGATTGATTGGTCCTGTATTTATGGGCACCTGTAGTAAATACTGTATATGATGTTAATTAGTTGAAAAATCCATCTATACAGGTCTGCATTGCGTTCATTCAAGCGCCGAGTTGCATATTCAAATGTTGGCTATGACCGTATCCTGATTGCATTGTTGAATCACGCATTCAGCATTTATGATACCCTAACTTCTGAAGATAGACTGTTTTTCTTTAACAATAATTGTTTAGATATTGTTGGTTGGAGAACATCATCTATTAGACGTAATAATGAACTCCCCAAGGTACATTCTTCCTACGATATATCTTTTAGCTGCCACCTTTTAGATCTTATGTGGAAAATCATTTTGGTGCTTGTAGTGGGAAGATTCCTTGAATGAAAAGTATCCTCACATTGTCTATGAAGAACATTGCAAGGCATGTGATGGTGAGCAGGGTGAATCCGTTGTGAAGGAAGATGATTCTTTGGACAAGACGGAAGGTTTGTAGTTCTTTTCTTATGACAAGAAGTTGGCTTTATGTCAAATCATTTCTTGGTTTTGTTAGTTCGATCCTCCTTCACATTCTGGGGGCCTCTGATACATTCTGTAATGCTGCTCCATCATACATGCATGATTACGTACCGCTGTTAAAAGAAATAACCAATGTGTTGATCCTAAAATGTTATGCTATTTGGTTGGTAAAATGGAGATGGTATTAGGTCCTCCCCTATCTCATATGGATCCTTCTTTTTCCTTAACGAATCTGTATCGAGCTGAAACAGGTGGGCATTGGTTGAGTATTTCATTAGAATACTTCAAAATTCGAAAAATTATAATGAAAGCTTCATGTACTCATAGCGGATACTTATACCACGTGTATTGAACATGTAGCCTTAAACAAATGCATGTAACATAGGCCCTCATCCTTTTTAGACATGGCAAAATTCTGAACTTGCCCTACGCTATTTGGTCTGAGTGTTTTTTTCTTGCAACTGTATTTTGTTTTAGTCCACTAGAGATTTTGATTTTGGGATCCGAGTTTCTTGCCCTATGCTATGTGTGTGTGCGTTTGTGTGTGTGTTCCTCTCTTGGCTTCTAGATATTGCAGAGTTCATGCTTTGGACAATTATGCAGAGGAATTGGTGACTGGTTTGTCTAGAGTGTCATGGGACAAAGTAGACGTTAGCTTTCACAAGAGCAGGCGTAGATTTGCTGCTCACAGTGTTATTCAGGTCCCTCTCTCTTTCTCTCCTGACTACAAATACTTAACAACATGATTGCCCAGAGAATTTTTAGATATTTGCTGGTTCTCCTGGAATCACAGCCGAGTCACATTTAATTTACGTTGGTGCAGGAATTATACATTATTTATGTACAATATGTAAAAAATAAAGCTTCTTTCATCTCCCTCACTGATTTAAGACTGAAAAAGCACTTATGAGACTCATATATTTGTCCTGTATGTTCATGTTTTTTATTCTGTTACTTGCTTATTTTATAGCCTCAAAAAGTAGTGAGTAAAGGTATTAACTAGTTTATCCAGCTTGACCAAGGTTTAGGTTATGGCGAGAAACTGCAATCACCCACAATTTATCTTTTGAAACATGGGCATACTATTCCATTTTTATCTGTCCTAACCCTCTTGGATACATCATAAGAGTATTTCACTTCCTATTTGACCTCGCATTACTAGAAAAATGAAAAAGAGAGATTTTGGCTTGAACCATGTCTATTTCTGGACCTCTTTGCCACTTTAGACATGTAGATGACATTTAGAGGAGTGCCTCGTGCTAAAAAATGAAACGATAATGTTGCCCAAGTAGTGGTGGTGGTGGTGGTGGTAGTGGTGGGAAGAGCCAGTGTTAGACATTGACATCCTTGGAGCATGCTATATACTTTATGCGATTCTCTCGTCCTTTTGTTTGAATTTATAAGCCAGCTGGGAGAAAGGCATCACAATTTAAAGCAGTAAGTATGAAAGGAAGAGGATTATAATTTCCACTCCATTTTGGTACGTAAAGTCGAAAAAATAGTGAAAGTCAAAAAGTGGTATTCCTTTCTCTTGAGCTTTTATTTCTCTTCCCAAAACAAGGACAAATCTTAATGTATGCTTCCATTTTTTTCTTATAACCAGACAAACAGAAGTTGCAATGTCTCTCACTTTCTTTGATTTTCTCTCTTCTTTATGTTCTCTTCCCAATAGTTTCCAAAGAATGGGTTGGTCATCTTTATTGCTCACTAAAGGGGTTGAATGTGCCATTCACTTACTACACCCTGAAACTAGATGCTATTTGTCATTCACCTAATAAACCCTGTAATACATGCAGTTTCTCATTCGCTTCATAAACCCTGTAACTACATGCAATTTGTCATTCAATTGATAAACCCTGTGACTAAATGCAATTAAATGTATATAGAGTAAACTGTACAAATTCAACTCAATAAGATTAAAGCTTTTTCACGTTTTCACCCTTAGTTAAATGTGGTGTGGGCTTAAGACTGTAATGCTCATTGGATGTTTACAGGTGAAGGATCAATATGTGCATGCCGAAGGTGCTGATGTTATACAACATATGATTGATAATTTTATCGTATAGAAGCCAAATCAAATCTGAAATATTCAAGGTGATCTAAGATTTGCATCTATAGTCTCTTATTTCCGTTTCTTTCCTAGACGTCCTGCATAGGAGGCCTGTTGTGGTATGCTGACAAGTAATTTGAATTTCTCATCTTTGGTTGCAGGTAATATTCTCTTGGATCTCATTATAACCATTTTTATGAATTGTAAACAAGAAACAATTATGAGGAACTTTGTTGACTCATTGTGCTCTAGGGTACATGAACATAGTTCCATGTATAAATGAAAAATTATTATTTTCTCAAAACAATTTCCACTTTCCTATACTTGAGGTTGGAGTTTATCTTCCAACCAAATGGTCACATATCTGATATCGCCCTTTCTATGGAAGACGAAAATTTGTAGAGGGGGGAAACTTCTCTAGGACAAAACACAATACTAGAGTTCTGTGGTATCAGTGGCCACAGAGCCTGGCACAATGTTCTTTATATATTTCCAGTAGTATTCTAGGTAGTATTGCATGTAATGTAGGCTTAGCCATTTTAGAAACATCAATGAAAATATTACCCGAAAGGTATTTGTAATTGTAACGTTGTCGTTCTCTATCAATTAACTTTAGAGAATCTTATTCACTCCTTTCATATAATCAGGTTTGTATCATCGACTTCCCTTTTTGGGAAATTAAAGTCAACAAAAAGACCGGTAAGATGTAACTATAATTTTTTTTTCCAGCTGTGAGCACGTGATTTTTGCCATGCTTAAATTACTCCTATAAATTCATTAGAATTAGGATTTTTCTTTTATTACTTGAATTTTAGGGAATTAATTGCATGATTTTTTGATAAGTGTTGCATTTTATCTGTACATTTTAATTCATATGAAAAATACAAAAAAAAAATACATTTGCATTTAGGACTTAATTTCATATTTTAGTATTAATTAGGGGTTAATTTGTTTTAGAACAAAATTTAAAGAAAATAACAAAAATAGTCCATTTTTGCGTTTTAATTGTTAATTGTTGAGTCTACTTTTAAATAGAATTTAATCAATTTTGTAGGAATTAATTAGCTTAGTTTTGACAATAAATTAGGTTTCATTTTAATTTTTCGCATTTTTATATAAAATTAGGAAAAATACAAAAAATGAAATACAAGAAATAAAGAAATAAAAAACAAAAAAAAAAACAATTAAAAGTGGACTGTTTTCAAAGGACCAAAATTGGGCCAAAATTGGTCAGCCCAAACTAATTACCCTCCCAAACCCGTTTGAATTGGCCCAGGCCCACCCCTTTTACCCGGTCCAGGCCCCAAGCTAATAACACTACACCGTTTTGGGCTCAATAAATCCGGGCCGTCCATCATCTTCAATCCAACGGTCCCAATTGATCCTACTTTTACAATAAAAATGTCCGAAAATTTTGAAACCCTAGAGACAGGGTCGCCTTCCTCGTACCCTTTCCCCTCCGCCACTTCTCCGCCCTAACTCCGCCGCCGGAAATCGCCCACGGCGGCGGAGAACCACCAAACACCCTCAAATTTACACCCTGGGTTCTCCTCGTCCTCCCCTACCCGAATCCATCATCTGTTTCTCTCAAACACACCTAGAATCTGTCGAATATTGGATCTAAACTTTTCTGGCCATGACAACACCTCGTCCAAATGACCCCAAATTAACACCCCAAGACCGCCTGGCCCTCCTCTACCTAACCCCCTTAACCCTGACCCTCGAATGTGGCCGGAACCGGTCGAATGATAATTTTTAACTTTCCGGCCAAAACCCTAAATAATCCAATCCTTACCAAATTAGTACCATAGGGTTCCTGGGCTGCCCTCATGAGGAATTTAGTGTCAAAAGAGTTCGAATGTCACCAGATATGGCCGGAGTTGAATTTTCAGTTAGTCGTATTTTTGTTGAAAGCGTGTCAATATTAGTGAGTTTTCTTTTCTTGGTGTATTCCTCTTATTTTGCTGTTATTTTCTCGAGTATTAATTTTCAGTTCAATATGTGTCTTAATTGTTGTTAATTCTCTTCTAATTTTGTGCTTAACTGTTTATTTGTCTATATTCTAGTTAGTCTGCCTTTAATTTCAGATTGGATATTAATCGTCTTTTTATCTGACTTTCACTTTTAGTTTTGTTTTGATTTAATCGGTTAATTCGGTGTTAGTTAGTTTGGTTAGGGTGTTGTCAATAACTTTTGATTCATTATGTGGTTTTAGTTCATTATAAGGCTTAGTTAGTATTTGAGGGTAGTTAGTTTGTTTTGGTTAACACTTCTGTGGTGATAATTAGTAGACCCCATTAATCTAGGTTAGCAATTTTCAGAAATAAAGAGGTAATTCCAGGGTAGTTTAGAACATGGTAGAGGAAACTAGAACTCACTAGGATATTTTAGAAAGGGTTTAAATTGGAAATCAGAAAATAAATAGTATAACTTGAGTAACAAGTTAAAAACTTGAGGACTGAATTGAAAATAACATAGGGACTAGAGTGCAAAACTAAAAATCTGATTGCTCACCCTTATGGTGCCTATAAAATGGCATCCTCATGCCTTGAAACAGAAGGGATCAACATCTGAAAATCCCCAAAAGTTTCAGCCTCTAGAAACTACTCCCAAAAGTATTCTATAGTTTCCACAAGCTGAAATTTGAATTTCAGATACAAAAAACTAGATCTGGAATTCGAAACCTCTTTTAGATCTTAAACTCTTCAGAAAAAAAAACCAAAAACAACAGAAAACCTTCGAAATCCCTAAAAATACTGTTCCATTGAAAACCTTAGGATAATCAATTTTTAGTTGTTGATTTACATCTTCTAGCTCAATATTTGGTTGCTGAAGTTTCAAAGATTTACTGGTTTTAATTTCGAGTGGTTTTGGGTTCAATCAAGTTATTTTTGGTCATTTGTTGGTGCTGTGTATACAAGTCACTTCTGGATTACTTTTGATATTGGTTGCTGGGTTGTGAGCTTAGATCTGAACTGCTGCTTTGTCATTTGCTGCTGCTGATTCCTATTCTTCTTCTCCTGTGACTTAATTCCAGGTACA